CGCTGTAAAGGGGTAGCTCACTTGGATGTCAGCAAGGCAAGATGGTAGGGGGGCTGCACAAGGGGTAGCTCGCTAGACCACGATTCATGTTGGTCCTTAGTAGGTGTTTGCTTGGATGGTATAGTGGTATATTTCTATCGTTTTCGTGCAAATCATTTAAGATCATAAGGCTTGCATTGGAATATAGTTGAGACCTTCGCAGTAGCCCTTCCTGTTTGTGCTTGCCCAATTTATTGTTTGTGTTTTTCCTTCTAAAAATTATCACAAACACAGAAATAAATGTGGGAACACAAAAAAAAACACGAAAAGACACCTGGCGAGTCCTTTATGGAGGAATTGATGCATTTGTAGATCTGATAAAAGCAAGATTTCAGCAGCGCAACAATTCCCATGTCTTACAGATTCGTACTCAATGTCTCTTCGGAAGCAAGTTGGTTAAATAAAACGCTCGAAGAAGTCGATCCTGAGGGAATCGCCCTGGGCAGTTATGTAGGTTTGATTGCTAAATATCGGCACATGTTTCACATCAACTAATCATTTTATATCATTAACTATATTACACAGCAACTCATTATATAAGCTACATATGCATTCGAAGGCCCCTACGAAGTTTCCCCTTGAAGAAATTGTGCAACGCTGAAGACAATAGATATCATCATTGTTACCTGCCCTTTTCACTTGTTGGTTCCTTTGCATTTTCAAGTAAGCACCGTATGGCGGTTTCATGTGGCTTAAAGACACAGTTCACGTTGAAATGGATCATGATATTTTATTTTGAGATGATCTGCAAGGTCTAAGGATAGCCTGAGGGATGCTGTCGCTTGAAAAATGGCCAGGATATTGCGTAATAAGGGCCCTGCAACCAGCTTGACCGGCGTACACGCCCAACGCGGACGAGTTCTCGTGGCGTTGTAGAGGTTGTAGAGTCTGCACCATTCGCACTGGGTCCCATCAACACCCTAACTAGACTTGTTTTTTGAAGCCTTAAATTTCTCTGAGTACGCCGATTTTCGTGTTTTCCTAGCCAATTTTGCTTTTTTCTGGACTATCACCTCCGTGAGTCGTTTGAAACAAGATACACCGAAATTATCGTGAGCTGTAGCTTTAGAGGACCAGCCGACGTACACCTGTTTTCTTCTTCCTAACTTCCCCACTATCTTCCAAAAGATAGGAAAGTTGTTCTGTCTGTCCAGGCTACAAACGGTACTCTTCTTCCAAACCGCGCTCTCAATGTAGCAGTATCACTTTGACTGTCCTAGGTCACCTCAAATTTTCTAACTAGTGAAAAGCTATTTTGATTATTCGTAGCACTGATTGATCCCACTGTTCCAGGATGGCCCACCTATTACCCACAACGAGGACTTCATCAAGTACCGATCGTACTGTCATTCTCATCCCCTATCCGACATTTGTACTCGTATAGAGGTAGGTAGGCGAATAACGAGCTGCCACGGCAATTGTGCTGAGATTTGGTTCATTCATTGCTTATTTCTCGGACCAAATATTCAGTAACAGAATTTTGCGAGTAGAAGACGACATCATTTGGAACTCCCTATATTCCCCACGAAATTCGTTGAGGCAGTCACATCGTATTTCCAAGAGTAAATTTTTCAGGAACGTATGTCTCTGGATCATCGAATGACCAAGGAGGACGTTTCTGCTGTTCGCATTCTCACATCACTACCGTATGCCTTCTGCGACAATCTCATCAATAAATTACGGCAGGATGTATGTTTCAGGAGCGCCGCTTCATTGTTGAAAAAGCACTCAATTCAAAATCTTACTTGTTGTAGAAGCAGTAGAAGATATTCCATCTGCTCCATGCATTTTTTTTTGGCCACATCATTTTCGAATTTGCGTAAATGTTACATATTGGCATCTCAAAGACTTTACCCCTTTACCCCTATCACCGAGAGCCCCGATCAATCTTAGCTTTTACTTCCTACATATACTCTTCCCTAGTCGATCTATCGCTTCAAGTACATAAACTCTACATTGAAAAATTGCTCCAGCCCCTAAAACACAATCAGCTACAAACTCATTTAAAAGAAACTACAGTCATAACAAAGGCAGAATTTCCGGTATCCAAATAAGCTTGTAATCGGACATTACTGTGTTCTGTTTTCTGCCTTTTGTATTTAAGGTTTTATTTACGTCATGGCAAGACGAAGGTCAAAACGCTCGATTAACAAGTCATTGCACAAATGGGACCTCATTCGACTGCTTCCGAATTTTTAAGTAGACTGAGCATAAGTAGGATGTGGGCAAAAACACCTGGACCACCGAGTACCTACCAATTATTTGGCGCTTCCTATAGTGGAGTTGTCTCGGAAGCTCTCTGCTCACGTTCATAAATCATGATGACTTTCAATGGATATAACTTCACCCGTACTCGTTTATTTCAAGATGTGCCTTCAAACTATGGCACCTTCCACATCTTTTCGTTTTCCTTATCCTGAGCTGTATGAAAACTAATTTTATTGTAATGATCGGTGTTTCAGCATGACGCTGAGGAATGCAAGAAGAATACATCAAGTTCTGGCCCTTTCTTGATGATATTTGGAGGTCTGCTGCTGTTAGGTGTAGGCAGGTAACATTTATTAGTTCATATTTTACTATACATTTTAACAATTTATTTCACACCCACTTTTTGATATTTATAACAACAACAAGTCATGCTTCAGAACAGTGCCGTTCTCACTAGGACTACCATTAATGGACGACAACGTGAAAAAGCATAACCTTCCTGTATATTTCGGTACGAACCCCGTCGTTTTAACAATTTCATCCGTATTAGTGATCAATGCTTTCAATAAAATGAATTTTCAGCTTGTATGTTCTTTGTGAAGATTCTCGGGCCAGTGCTCGGCTTACTCATCGGTAGCAAGCTCAACGAAATCTACTACACTTTCGACCGTAAGCAACTTTGAATCTCATTCTTGAAAAGATGTTCATTCAGATTGGAAACGAAATCAGAAGGGCTCTTCACTAAACTAGAATATTATTCGAAAGTTTTTTATGCGCTTCGTTGGGCATTGTTCGAAGGCAACTACTAGTGTCAGATCTCGCCGCTGCCTTTACATGGGCGGAAATATCACCTTCGTCTGCCTGTCCCAACGCGAATGCCGTTCTAATCCTCTGTGGGTAAGCCCCTCATAGAAAAATTACTGCGAACCCCCGAGATGGTGGATAGTGCGATGTTCACGACCGTGTACTTCATGCCCTTCACATATCGCCTGGATCTTCAAGCGCCCTTTTTTCTTGCTCTGCCTTTCTTGCGTCTCGATATTGATATTGATATGAGAAATTGTCGTTAAGCGTCCATCTATAACTGGACACTATCTACACGCATCATGCAAATTAATCTCGGGGCTCTTATATTTTACTAATTAGGAATGGGGTGTGTCAGAAGCAACTGCACCTGCCTCGTACTAACTGGCGATGGTGACATCAATGTAGTGACCCGTATGCCAATGAAAAGTCTAGGCAAGCGACTGTCAGCCAGCTCGCTACTGATCCGAAATAACCAGTCGACAGCAGCTCACGAAACGTCGCTTTTTTCAGCTGTCTCAGATCACACGAAGTTTAATTAATGTACCTCGGTTGTTCGTACTGCCGAATTTCACTTTCAAAACACATAATGTTTTGATCGGTAATCCAACCGAGCGGTCGGAAGCCTTGCTTTTGACAATTCTATTAAACGAAGCGAAACCTTGATCTGATTTGCGATTCTAATAGATCTAGCCTGAGCACACACAAATTCATATTCAAAAGGATAACCTTTTGGTAACAATCATGTTCGTAATTTAGCTCCTCATGGTCTCACTCCGTTGGATCCCATGTGGATTGGCTGTTGGTGGCTCGGCTTTCTTATATTTGGGTGAGCCTAAAGTAATTTGTTGGCGCCTTTTCTTTTCTTCTTCTTTTCTTCTTTCTTCTTTTCCATTTTAATTATTTCAGATTGTTCTTCTATTTCAAATTTTTGTTATTGCAGGGCATCATAGGTGTTTTTGGATAGAAGAAGCTATTCAAAGTAAGGTTTTTGATCACCTTATTTCAGGGTTCTTTTATTCTTCCCATCATTAATTCTGTTCCTGTTTCCTTCGAACCAATTAGACGAAAGAAATGCCAGGGCGAAGATCTATCCCAAGGAGACTACTCCCAATGGGACTGAGTAAGTACATAAGACAATTTTCTGTAGTATTTTACTAGTTCTTTTATTTTTTATTTACAGGCCGCTGAAACCAAGGAAAACTTTGAACCTTTACGATAAACACATCAAAGTACACGACAAGACTGTCACAGTTGAACAAAAGATGACTGGCGAGTCATATTCATTCTTCCGTGCCACAGCTTCAGTTTTTTGCTCACCAACTGGCAAACATTAACAAACTAACGAAATTGGCCGAAGTATAAGTGGCCTTGAAAGTTCATAGCGCCGCTACTGGTTCATGAGCATAAACACCTGTAAGAGTTACGTAAGCCAGTCGTAGTAAGTAAGGTAGCACAATGGAAAGGCCAGTTTGATATNATACTACCAAGAAAGGCCCCAACTAATAAAAAAAAGGCTTTTTTCTCACAGATGAACTGTAGATATTTAGAGTTCGTTGCAACTGTTCGAGTACTGTTTCGAAATCCAATTTACGTTGGAGCGATGTGTGGACGAATCGTTGATGTATTGGCTTTCAAAGGGTTGGTTGACCTACAAAATAATTGTTAGCTACACATTTTGATCAAAGGTCTCTAGGGATCGTTTGACCCGTACTATATATAAACGCTCGCGTCTATCTGCTTATTTGTGTGTTTGTCTATTTATAGGGAAATTCGATTTTACATGAAGAAGCACCTGCAACAGTTGGTTTGAGTTTGGGACGGGCTGGGTATAGGACAACAGGGACAGAGCACATGTGAGCTAATCGGAACTCCGCCCACAGGGGGCGGGGCATACAAACAGTGGGCGGTGTCTTAAGCAGAATGTCTGAATTAGGTTCAATAACAGCCCACACAACGGGGAAAAATTGGCGAAGGTGAGGGATGGGTCAACAAGTGAACTAACGTAGACCACCGGCGGTGGGAGGAGTTTACCACATGAGATCGCATCTCAGTTCAGCGGAAGCGTGGAGGTCAGAAAAAAATAAAAGAAGTGAGCAAGGCCTACTGCTTTTCGGGCACATGAAAACATCTCGAAGCTCCTCCCACAGTGTGCGGGGCAGGTGCGCATTTAAATGTTAGGTCCTTTTTGAAAAAATTGTAACTCTGTTCAAAAATGTTCTATAGTGCGGAAGGTAAGTGGCTAGAGGCTAGAAGAAATGTGGCCAAATACCTGACGTAGGAGGGGCTTGCACTATGGTGGGCGGGGCTAAGATCAAGCATTCACAGCATTCTGTTCAAAAACGTTCCAGAACGCGGAAAAAGAGTGGTTGGGGGTTACGGGAGGAATGTGGCTGATTCCTGGACTGAACAATTAAGATCAAAATCCATAACACTGTTCAAAAATGTTCCAAAACGTGGGAAAAGGTAGTTGGAGCTAAGGGAAGAAATGTTGTCAAATACCTTACTTGAGTCGAGCTTGCGCAGAATTGGACGGGGCTGTGGTCGAAAATTGCTAATTATGATTAAAATGTTCGAGACGCGAATAAAATGGTCAGGAGCAGCTAGAAGAGGATTGGTCGAATTTTCATAGTGGGGTCTGCACTAAGGTGGACGTTGCCATGTTCAACCGCTGATATTCTACACAAAAGAATATATCGAGCGGGATGCTCTCGAAGCGGTCAAGCTTTCGAATCTAGAGAGAACTATCTTATCCCGATAACGCTGAATGATTCCATCGTAGATGACCTATTGTGAACTCTAATGCACGCGTTAGCGTGCATAGCCCAACTGGTGCAATGTAAGGCAATGCGATTTCGAGCATCCATCTCTACAAAGTTTCGGCGGTGAGCCTGAATAGGAAGTGCGACAGAGTAGAACTCACATTGAATAGCAACGCTTCCAAAGGCAGTTCGAAGGTCATGAATCGGATAATGGACAAAGGTCAGATTGGCACAAGTCCAGGCGGGGGTCGATCCGGGATTCGATGTCTGGACCATGGATGACGGAACTTCTCCCCAAAGTTCCACGACCTACGGCAATGGTTCCGCGGCGACTCTCCGTATCATTCCTCTGGAAATCCGAATCTTTCCCCTCATGGTAACGTGCGGCGAGCACGACACGCCGTTCGAGGAGAAGATGCCAGACCCCGGACCATGCATGTGTGAAACTGCAATCCCTGCTTTACACCGCCTCCACCTAATCGAATGGGGTTTGAAGGATGTTCTGCTTCACTGTCATATGAGGAGGCTAGCCGCATAGATATGGGTAAAAACACCCATACCGCGCGTGTGCGCCAAATGCTCCTCAAGCGCTTTTGAATTCCTAACGTTCTGCGGAACGGACATTATCCTGGACGTTCTTCTTCTGTTCTCTTCCTTGGCTCTGTTTTTCCGGTTTTTTTTTCGGGGATGTTGAGTGTGACTAAGAAACTTAATTTTTGTTATATACATTATGCTAAGAACCGCAACTTGTAGCTGTAAAATCCGCACTGACAAATGAATTTTTAAGATTCTTTGTGTTCCTTGGCAAATACCTGGAACTCCAGTTCGGAATACCGCAATACAAAGTTCAAAAGTACATAGGTAAGTGCAATAAACAATTTCCTTTATTTTCCACACCACTATATACATAGGGGTATGCTAACTATCGTACTCACACTAATCGTTCAAGAAAACACCAAAAATGTTGTGGCTACGCTGCGTAGAAGCCATCGCAAAACATCAACATTCCAATCGGGGGGATTGAAGTAGGAACCATTTTTCTCGTTGGTGCCTTCTGAATGACATTTTTGCATGTGACTTTCAATAAGCCACTAAGAAGGGTGGGCGAGCTAGGTGTCAGCAGTGAAAGGAAGGGCTCGATACTCGGAAAGCGCGAGTGCGGGATCGAGTCCGCTCCAGCCGAAGCTTGGTCCGCATCTCTCCAGTCTTTTCAGACTTTCCATGGCGTATGCTTTAAAAAAAGCGATTTACAGAAAAACATCAAACCAATTAGAATCTTACTCGTTTATGATACCCGTTTGTTGAATAACATTCTAGAGTATCATAATTTCTTTTCCAGCTGGAAGCGGCATTGTTGGGTTCGCATGTGGAACCATTACAGGAAGTTTGGTCATGAGAAAGTTCCATTTACAAGGTAGGTTGAGAGTTTTAGTATAATACCCACCCTAACTGTTCAAAAAATGACATGAAAGCGCGAAACCGTTATTTAACGGTTTGCTTTCCACCGAAATTAAGTCATACTTTCATATTTTACTTCGTGCCAATCCTTTAATCTCAACTCTGGAACCTTTTATTAGGCGCGCGTAGTTACAAATATGAGGTTTTTTTACAAAATGAAGAAGAATGCACGAAACGATGACCCGAATATGTCCACTGAGATAATTTCAACATGCGTTTTTGGATTTTACTATATCGTCAGAGACATGGCTGAGGAGAGATCTTCAGGTCGAAAAGCCGCCACTTGGGTGGCATTGTGTTCATTGGTTGCAGCATTAATGGCATTCGCCAACGGTGCCGTCGGCTGCAAATCTGTGATTGGTCAAATCGGAGACCAAGCTATGTGAGTAATTTTTAATTTTTTTATCTAAGAATTTTTCCTATAACCAAGCAGAATAATAGAATTTTAGAGGATAGGGTAGTGACAATTACCGCGCCATAACACCTGCGCGGTCACGGGTTTGAACCTGAGATCCGTATTTGCCTAGCCCAACCAAGCTTTCCATCGGTCTGAGATCAGTTAATTGGTGCCAGGCTCGCCTAGGAGGGTAAAAAAGGCACAGCCTCAAGACTTGGGTGAGCATAGCAAGTCATTTTATAGGCAACATAGGAATTCAATAAGCCTATACGATTCTGATCTTAAGTCGATTACGGGGCGCATTCTTCAGACGGGATTGTCGCCAAGAGGCTTCATACATAATGTGTTAGTTTGGGTCATAGGTCCTCGGTCAATGAGATAATGATTACATCTAGAGATCATAACGCGGGAAAGAGGTGAGTTGGTCGCTCGACGCATAATTAGATAGAGTCTGGAAACTTCTTTCAGACTGTTTCCTAACTGCTTCCTTTCCTGCAACCATGCCCCATAATTTCAAGCTGTCGCAGCTCCACCTCGCAACACCATCGTATTTCTTTTTTTATCTGACCAAGAACCTCGGAAATCAGTAGACGTATGAAGGATTACAATGAGGATATCCCTGCTAGAAGAACAATTCACAAGTGGTACACGAAGTTCGCGTTGGGCGACTATTCCATCGAAGGTGAAAACCGTCCCGGACGCTCAATAGAGTTGGATTTGGACGTGCTGCGCAGCCAAGTGGAACCCGATCCGTGTCGAATTACTCGTGAACTGGCAGTCACTCTTGAGGTGAGTCAGTCCGCAGTTGATCGTGGATTAAAGTCGGCCAAACGGCAAGGTGCGAAAGCTCGGTCGATGGGTGCCTCATGCTTTGAAGAGTATGACATGGATCGCTGCGCCTACATGGCATTTTCTCTTCCCACGCTCAAGCGCACCCAAGCGTGGCTCGAACACCTAGTCACCTGGGATTAGAAATGAATCCTGTACTCTCACGTTCACCTGCGTGCTCAATGGGTTGACAAAGGTGAGGATGCAGAAGTCCTCCCTAAACCCGACGGACACGCCGAAGAGTTATGCTCTGCAGCTAGTGGAGCGTTCACGGTGTCGAATACTGGGAGCTGCTGGACTAAGGATGTACAGAACCGCAGGCGTCTACATTAAGCAATAGAGAAATTTGAAGGCGAATCTCGAAGCTACACGTCCACAGCGCACGACGTTTACCTCCAGCACGACAACTCTCTTACAAGCACGACCGATTCTGAACCAATGAATTTCGGCTAGACCATTTCACCACACCCACCATATTCCCCAGGTTTGGCTCCCTCGGATTATGACATTTTTCTCATCTCCAACGTCATCTGGATGGTCAAGACATTCAAACCCGCGACGACATCAAAATGGCACTCGAGCAGTTCTTCAAAGGCCAGCCCCCAGCGTTCTGGAGCAAGGGCATCTACGATCTGCCCAAGCGTTGGCAGAAGACATCGATAGCAATGAGACATATTTCAAATGATTCACAATTGTCGTTTAAAAGTTGTAAGATAAATATAATCATTGTCAATTTGTCCGGAGACTTCTGACTAGACCTAATACTTCTGACACCTGCTGAAATCTTCCAATGCGTATCAAACAACACGTCCGCGCTCGAACGGGGTTTAGGCGGACAGATTCATGGTGTAAGGGGAGTTGGAAAACTTCGGAACGAAACTTTTGTACCCTGAACTTCCTACACTCTGGTTTTCTTCTTTTGACCTTTTGACCGCCAAACCACAAAAGAGTAGTGGCCTAGTAGTGGCAGTCTATTTAGTGCTCTCTCGAGAGTATGGTATATCTTGACGAGCAAAAATGCTTCAATATTAATGGTTCGACTTATGGCACATCCTTGACATGGAGTTGAACACGTCCGCCTTTAGGAATTCAATCTGTAGCGGCCTTCGGGATCAGTTTTGAGCAAGTACTGCACCTCGTTCAGGTCAATTTTCGACCTATTGGCGACCCATATGGCCTGCGACGGAGCCATAGATTTCTATGGTTAAATCTTTTTTCATTGTGAAAACTCTGGAGCAGGGCTGTGTGTGAAGCTTGCTAATGAAATTCGTTTGCTGAGCACTCCTTACATCCACTACTGGAAGCTTCAAGCTCCTCTGTCGCAATTTCATGAGACATACATAGAAGTAGATTCCGTATGATCGAGAGATTTAGGAAAAAGGCATAAAAAGCATAATCACCTCTTAGATGGACTATTTCAGAGCCAACAACTTCACTTTTCCCTCATGCCGCAGCGATTGCGATTGTGATGGAATGCCTTTTTATCCGGTTTGTAATACTAAGTGAGTTGCAGTTTATAGAAATTTTCAAGTGGCAATGTAAATGTCCAATGCTTCTTACCGTTGAATAATCCTGTTTTTGGGGGCAATTGGGCACCCGAGTCTACTTTTGAATCGGTGAGACGTTTGGCTTGGTTTTAGCCTTTCCTCAGTCCTCGGACGGGACTCGAACCTTATATGACCAGACATCGAGACCTTCATCCCTTAAAGGCACAGTTCACGAAAGTTTTGAGGTACCCGTTCATATTCAGAAAGTGGAGGTATAGACTGGGAATAGTTTGTTGGTAGTGAATGAAGCGAGAGAATTCGCCGGTTTTGAAAAAAATATGGCTCTTCAAAAGTAGGGAAAATAGATGTTGTACGAGATTGCCGTAACGGAAATAACATAGAAGGGGTATTCGGACGAGATTTCAGTTATTGCAATTGCACAAAGAGCTGACTTCATCAAGCCAGAAGTGTACAGAACCGTCTTTCACTGTCGCTATGGGTCATGACAAGTTGTTTGAACTTCTTACATGGGTTTCCTTGTGATCGGTGCAGCCTCTACAATGCCGGTGAAACTCGCCCGAGGATGCACACGGGCAAATCGTTGAGCCTTTATAACTCCCTAAGTAGACCGTTTTCCGACCTAATAGTGCTAGATATGGTATTCGCAAGGGCGTCAAATTTATCCTGTTGGGGAATTTCAGAAACCATTTTTATCGTAAACTGTGCCTTTAAGGCTTCGCCCTAAACCATTAAGAATGCAATTAAAGGGGGAGGGGTCTGTTCAGTTTTGCACAGCTTACCAATCTTCTAAGAGCGTTACACCTTTTCACCTCACCCCCCACCACTAGACTGGTACGGAAGGAAATAGTTGACCTTAAGTGAAGCTTAATCGGCCTAGATGAATTTAATTGCTTGACCGACCGCTGAATAATAAATAAGGTAGTGTAACTTTTCTGACTATTCTTTGCTCCCATGAATTAGTATCGAGCAAGACCATTCACATTTTTCAGAGGAGAAACCTTCTACTCACCTTGTCAAGCTGGTTGTCCACTAAGTGGAGCTAATTTCAGTATCCTAGATAAGGTGCCATATTCTGCAGTTCAAATCTCGGTCCCCAATTGTTCCTATGTTGTTTCAGAAAGATAAAGGTATGCCGCTGATATTCACAGAATGTGAATGCTCCAAAACTGACGACCTCACTGTCAGCAGAGATTTCTGTCCAACAGGTATGCTTTTACATTTGTTATTGTTTTTTATAATTCGATCACTTCAATAATTAAGAGCACTGCACGAACCAATTCTATGTATTCCTTGCCATCAAAGTATTAGGATCCTTAGCAGCTGGCCTATCGGTTGTTCCCGGAATGTTAATCGTTCTTAGGTGAGTTGAGTATAGTCAGTCAATCGACTTAATTACTTCATCGTAATCTATTAGGTCTGTACCGCCACAACATCGCAGTATTTCTCTTGGTTTCAATGGACTACTTGTGAGTCTGCTCGGTAGGTTCAAGTGCCATTACCAATTCTCTCGGCCTCAGTAATTATAATATAAGTTATAATTGACCAGTTGGGCTACGCACGCTAATGCGTGCACCACATGCCTACTACCGCTTACCTACGACTTGTTAAAGAACCAATATGACCAGTATCGGTTGACCTTTTTCCTTCCTTGGGATAGAGGTGTGATGAACGGCGGACGAACACTCCTTCTTTGGAACGAATGATACTTTTCGGAACTTCGGAATTCGATAGAGCAGCAAAAGTTTCGATCTGTCTCTGTTCAATAATGATCCATTATTAAACGTCTTTATGAATGTAGCCTTTTCTCTACGGATACATCATTAAATGAGAATCAAAGATTATTAGCGGTCGGATAAATTTTGCCATGAATGATATCAAAGCAGAGAGAAACCGTGATCCTTCATTGAACAGCAAACTTCGCTGGGTGGCGGTCGTAAGCAAGAAGTGAACCATATTTTATAATTTCAANTTCAATTTTTGATTGGATCCCTGTTTTCTGAGGCCTTCTCTATCGTCAGTGTTCCCATCCCGCCCCCTCTACTCCTGCCGATTTTGCTCCCCAAGTCCGCGGTATCAGGTGTTATGGATTTTCGCTCAGACATTTATTTCGTACAAACCCCGCCCCCCCAGAGGGTGGGAACCGGTCCTACTGCCCACCAAGTTTGAACGCTTTAGAGTCAATTCGCGCACACCTCGCCTTTTATGTACGGGGTCCGGTCCTCCCACCTACCATAAGAGTTCCTATCCTGCCGCCAATGCTCCTGCCAAGTTTGAACGCCCTAGGGCCGAATTGATAATTTTGGCGCAAACCTAGCCTTCCATGTCCCGATTCTGCCACCCACAAATAGTGTTCCCACCCTCCCTCGGATACTGTTACCAAATTCGAATTTTCTAGGTCCACTGAGACAGGAGTTATTATTTTTCACCCAAACATTTATTTCGCGCAAACCCCGCTCCCTGTGGGAGGGGTTCGGTCCTGCCACCCACCATAAGTGTTCTCATCCCATCGCCTAGGCTCCTACCAAATTTGAACGTCCTAGGAGCACGGGGACAGCAGTTATGAATTTCCGTACAGACAGACAGACAGACGGACGGACGGACAGACAGACGCGAGCGCTTTATCTAAAGTAAGGATAAATGAAAACTTATTGTTAGGTTATCCGGAAAGTTTCCGTTACTGGGTTATCCGGAAAGTTTCCGCCGTTTTTGGACACCTTCGGTTCATCAACTGTTATACAAAAGATCCAAGACTTAACCTTATAAAAGGGGTTGGCATTTCTCTTCATGTCTGGTAGAATTCAGGTAACATCTCTCGAAGTAGGTGCACCTGTATAGGACATCTATGAAAATTGAGGACCATCGCTTTTTTTTGGCATCCTATGTTTTTCTTCTACCGCAAGGGGAAGAACTCTGCTCAAGTCGCGGGAAAGATTTGTTACATGAGTGATTCGCATAGTTTGAACAGGGTGAATTCATAGGATAGGCTGACATAAGTTGAAAATTGCCAAATCAAAATGTTAGTCGAAACGAATCGGCCCATTACTACCTGTGGAATAGAATAAAAACTTATGTTTTGAAAACAACAATCCTTGACAATTTGCTGGAAGTTGGCTTTGTTAAGCGCATTACTGTTTGGGTACCACAAAAACTGGGCGAGCGTTACGATGGCCGCGCCTCCGTGTGCCACTCGTTGCTTAAACGGAAGCAAAATTGGGCTGTTTCCGAAACACTCGTGAACGGATGACGAAGACTGGGGTCCTGTACAACAACGTGGAGCGAAACAACCGTGGAGCCTTCTCAGTGAGCCGTCACAAATCAATCCAAAAGTCAAAATCTAGAAAATCAAAATCAGAAGATTATGCTGTGTTGCTGGTGGAATTGAATGGGAATCGTTCTTATAAGCCGTTGCCGCATCAAATGATGACTTTGGAAAGGTACTGTACTCAGCTAGGCAATTTGGAGGCAGCGATAGAATATAAGCGCCAAGAACAGGCAAATTGTAAGGGCGTTGTCTTCCCATAGGATAACACCAGAGCGCTCGTATTTTTGGCCACTCGTCAAAGTTTCTGGAGCTTGGATGAAATGGCTTATCACACCCCCTAATCGTCCGGACATAGCACTGCCGGACCACCTTTTTATTAAATTTCTGCAGAATTCTTTAAATGGAAAATCGTTCAATCCGCTGGAGGGCTGCAAAAAGCAACTGAGGGGTTCTCTCGACTCTAACCTCAGTCCAAAAGCCTCTATGGATGTGGGACAATGAAACTCACAGGAAGATGGCGAACCATTACTGAACAGGATGAACAATATTTTGTTCGACAAATGAATTTGTTTTTCTAGAAATTTTGACTTTAAGATGACTCAAAAATTGACGGGACTCTCCGGACAATCCATTACTTCATGTGGGTTCTAACGAAACAGCATTCAAGCTCATCTCAAATTGTGGAGGCAGTTTCTGAATGGTTTTGCGCAAAGAGTGTGTTTAAGGGCACAATTCACGAAAAAAAGGTTCCTCAGTTTTCTCCTCAGGATACGCCAAAAACATCTTATGTAGTATCTTATGTTGTTTTTGGGGTGTGACCCCAAAAACAACATAAGATACGCTTTCGTGTTGCAAAAGGCTTAGATAGGGTGCGCTAAAGGCTCCAACGTCGGCTTGGCTCCTTGCATCGTTGCAGAGGCTGTAGGGTTTGCATCATTCGAAGGTTGCACGCTGGCAGCTTACTGCAGCCAGCTGTATGCAATGAAACATATTTGGGCAGCTCGCCCAAACACACCTTCAATGCCACTTTTGTCGTCACATTCTCGTCCAACCTCCGATTTTCCATTTAACAATTTTTCGAAGCCTTATACTCCTGGGAGTACGATCTTCCCTTTTTCTTCAGTACTCTTGCACCGTAGTGGACTGTCAATTCCGCTAAAACTAGATACCCATTTATATGTGCTGAACTTTTCTCTATTCTAGAACGACTATATATAATGCAGTCATAAGGTTCGTTTCTTTTAAGCCACCCTACCATCTCCGGTATTTTGGGGCAAAATCTTCGACATGAGCTGCTTGATGTGGGAAAACGTGTGCACTAAAACTGGAGCCTGCCCGATTTATGACACTGATGAGCTTCGAATACGGTATACACTTATGTTNGCATAATTTTTGAAAACTGTGATGGCATTTACTTCCTTTCAGGATACACGCTATTTACGGTGGCTTGCGACTTTTTGCTCTGCTCTCAGACATCTGGGTGATTTACTGGGCGAAAGGCCTAAAATTGGTTGACGAAGAGGATGAACAGACGAGTGATGACGGTGATGATGGCCTGAAGCTTCAGCCTCTCAACAACGAAATCAGACAAGGCGAGCATCCACAAACGCTCCTATCCAACGGCCACCGTGGAGAGGCTTGAGAAGAATGAATGATATGATAATGACTGTAAGGAATTATTTTGACCAGAGGCGGGTATTCTCGATTGTAAGGTTATATTCGAGAAAATGTGGATGCCATGTGATAAAATTTATCTTTGTAGTTGTTGGCACTCCAAAGAGTATAAGAAATGAATTTCAATGAAACAAGCTCAGTTCAATTTGAAAGTATTAGAACGACAGGCATAGTTGCTTTTCATACTATCAGAAGAAGATATCCAATTGTGTGATATCGTTGACTGTGATGGGATTGAAGTAGGCTGACAATAAATTAATCTTCTAATCTGTAATCTGAGTAAGTAATCGGAGGGCCGGTATGAAAATGATCAATTGAGGAGGACTTTGGTTCACAGTTGGTGGGTAGCTTGAAGTTGGGATATTTGAATAATAATTATTTGAAGGAGGGTGAGATCCGCAGGTAGAGTGGTACCGCAAGGCGGGAACGGGGCTGGTTTAAATAATGATTACTTGACAACTTCGAAGTTAAATGCACGATATTAGCGCAGGAGACGGAGATTTCAGCGAGAAAGGCATTAGAGGCGTTCTGGATTTTCAAAAGAAATCCTAAAGTGAACGGTAGAGATGAGTGCGTGTCCATAACCAACGATCTTTTGCCATATATACCGCACTGCGACTTGTGTCTCAGTAGCATTATAACGTGATCTTCCTTATCACAAGTATCACAAGTATAAGGGAAACAGCCAATATGTCTCATTCGCTACTGACAGTCGCTTGTGGCGACAGCGGATTTTATTCCGCTTGAGCGGTGAAACCTTGGTGAGTTATGTTTCAAATTATGGGTTTTGAATTTGCCGTCACAATCGCCAGAGGGTAATGCGCTTTTTGGATACTGTGCAAATGTCTCGAATTGCTTTAGGCCTCTGAAGACGACGAGAACGTCGAAACGTTAGGCCGTTGTGACTAATAAAAGTTCCACCTAACAACCTCGTACGGCACAAGAATATTGTAACCAGAAACATCTATGCCGAGGTTAAAGCAAGAGAGAAGTTGGAGACTGTTAAACTAATCTTATTATCTCGAATCCGAGTTTAACATTCTATATTGTACTGTTTTATTATATTTAACTGATAACATCAAAAACACCATGTTTTGAGGAATTGAAAAATGCAGAAGTTATCGAAGGAATGTAGATGTGGCCCTTCGCTCATCCAAAAAAGAGAAATCTGGAATTTCCAGACCATTTTGGCTCGGGTTCGTAAGGGGATCTTCGACTACCCGAACTACATTACTCGCCCTATAAATTCGAAAACTCACGCGGATACCGCGAGTTCGCTTCTTTCATCTTCTCTCCATGGGTGGGTCAGGGTGGAGTGTTCAGGAGTTGAAGATACCGTTAAACTCAGCTCTCGAGCTCTATACGCAGATAAAGCTGAAGTGCTAAAACTGCTTGGTTTCTGCGTCATGCACTCGAGACCCATTCGGAAAGTAATTGCAGGCACCTTAGGGTGAACGCTTTAGTGCTTGTATGAACTTCCAGATTGCGCCACGTACTCGACCTCACTCACTGTGAAAATGAGTTATTGGTCTTGTTGAGTCTCCGTTCATTTCTGGTGCGCAGGTGATTGATGACTGCATCTACAGCCCCTGCACTCAACACTCCTTTTTGCATGTCCCAATGAGAATATAACATCAATTTCCAGCAAAGTGAATTAGTCGTTTTTTTGAGATTTTCCATTTTTAGAAAATTTTTTCGACGAGATTCAAGGAGGCACTCCATTATCGAAGACAACTCTTTCTCTCTGATTTGGGTGGTCGTATTTGCAGGCGACGGAGTCTGAGGGCCGGTATGAGAATGATCAATTGAGGAGGACTTTGGTTCGCAGTAGGTGGGTACTACGGTAGCTTGAAGTTGGGATATTTGAATAATAATTATTTGAATGGGGGTGGGATCCGC